TGCTGTGAGCTCACTGCTGCAGACACAGCCCCTCTCCTCCCAAATTCTGAGTTAAAGGTGCAAAAAAGCCACTGCTAAGTCCTCATTTGGACCAGTTATTACAGAAAATCAGCACATGTGAAGCTAAAACCCCCCATACCTACCTGTATTGCTCTGAGCTGTGAGAAAACAGCTCCAACTGCAGGCCAAGGACGCCATGAAATTCAGGATTTACAGATGCTCGTTCCCTCAGCAGTGATGCAGCCTGCAGCCCTCAGGGAATGATTCCTGCACAACATGGAAATAACATTCACTCACCTCTGGGAAGTAGTTAATTAGATTGCTGGAAAATCGGTTTTCATCCTATTAACTGCAAAAGAAGGGGAAGCAGGAGGTCAGAAACCAGGAACTCGAGATGAGGAAAAGGTGAACTGAAAAACTAAAAAAAAAAATTAAAGGTGAGAAAGGGAGGAAAAATGAAAATTAAAAAAAAAATAAATATAAATGCCCTCTTCTTGCCATGGAAGAAAAGCAACTGGTAAAAGGCAAACAAGTTGAGAGGTTTGGGTTGTCCTCTTCACTTGTTTTAGCCACTTCTCTTATTTAATAAAGAACTATGGGTAACACAGCCAGGCTTCTCACAGCTGAAAAACAGGCCCCTGAAAATGTGCAAATAAAGGAGAAAAGTAACTTTTATCCTATTTAAGACAGACTAAACATCCCCTTCCTCCTGGATCTCTTATTAGTTCTTCAGTTAAGTTCAGTTTTGCAGGTATATGGGCCAATCTTGATAATAAAATAATCCTATTAATTTCCAAATGACAGGGTATTCTCCTACCACATATTCTGTATGAACCTTTCCTGACAGGCTAATACAGTAATAATTCCTCACCTGGCTCCAGCACCATGCTCAGATGTTTCCTTGGAAATACTTTGTTCCTTTTCTGTTGTTTCTTGCTGTGGATGAAGATCCTTTGTGTGGCAATGGTTCCTTGAATTGGTTTTCCACAGCTGTGTCCTTCCCAGCTTTCCTCTCCATAGATACTGAAGTGCACCAGTTCAATGAATCATGCTTTCTCCTAATAAAATATTATTTGAGTCCGATGCCAAAGGCCAGATTTCTATAAAAGATTCAGAATGAGCAATAAGTACAGCAAAAATGATTTTTGTTCTTCTGTCTTTCCCTCCCCACCACCCTTTTTTGGGGTCAGAGACTCCTTAGAAGACCAGTAGCATTAGAAGAACTGATATTTTATATCTTTAGTCTTGTTTAAGAGATACCTTTTGTGTTGGAGTAGGGAGGTGGTGCTGCCTTCCTGGGAAGGGCCATCAAGAGTCAGTTCTTGGGTCAACAAAATATGTGTTTTCTAATTCCTCTGGGGTCAAAGACTTTTCCTGAGCTCTCAAGGCCCAAGGGGAACCTCCCTGGTTATTCCTCTCCCCTTCCCACCTCCCCTCCTGGCACAAAGGTGACCCAGAGCCCAGTAAAGTGTTCAACCAAATATTTGGGAGGGTTCCGACGCAGAGCAAAGCTGAGCCAGGGCTTCCTGGCAGCACGGAGAGCTTGGAATAAGGGATATGGTTACTGGCTTTGAACAGCCATTACCCAGAAATTCAGGAGGAGAATAAAAGGCAGCAGACAGGCCAGTAAAAGTCACTGTAACTTAACCACAGGGATACAAAGAGGAGTTGCTGTGCAGGGCCCACCTCACCAGTGAGTGACCACAACCTGGTGGACACGGTGGCTCGCTGTGTTCTGGGTGTTTTGTTGCCTAAACTGGCAAAATCTTCAGCTTTTCAAGGTATCAACAATGTCTTTCAGGTGTTGGTACAATGCCCCGAGCAGGGGAACAACTGGGAATTGCCAATATAAAGTGATAGGAAAGGCTGTCCTCACATTTCATTTAATAGGGTACATTCCTTTTTTGTAATATTGCTGAAAGTCCCTCAAATATAAATGAAACCAAAACTGTTCTTTTACTTACTGCTAATAACAGCCAGTTGTACTGTCCTTGAGAGCCACATATAAAAACATTCAAGAAATATTTTTAAATGTCTTGCTCCATGGTAAAATACTGCACTACAAAGGAGACTTCTGGAGATGTTACCTAAATTAGCCTTGTTCAAATACCTCTGTGATATTTAATCATAATAATAAAAGCCAGAGTGCTTTTTGCCTTTCCATCAGAAACTAGTTTTGCTAGTCCCAGCTCCATCCTGGCAACGTGGTGTCGTGGTGTATAATTTCATAGACACAAAGACACTCCACTACCATAGCTCTCATTATTAAACAATATATTTTAATTGTCACCACCTTTCTCATATAGACATGGGCCAAATCTACCCCTTATTGGCTTCGACCGAGCTCCACAAGGGATGAATTTGGCTCAATACATATAAAACATACAGCAAGTCAAGCAATAAAAAGCAATGTTTGGGTTTCTTTTTTTATGGCACTCGGTGCTTTTTTGCCATAGGAACACACATGCCTGGCCAGTAAAATCCCATGATAAAGGACTGAAGTGTTTAAGACTTCATATGCAGAATAGCCCTCGGTGTTTAATTACAATAGCAAAGATGCCCTGTTATAAAAGCATTTCTTACCTGGAGAAGGGATCCATGCTCTCCAGTGAAGCTTAATTACCCAGGACACGCCGGGGTTTCCCCTCTGGCAATAACCTCTCACACCAATAACTCCTCCATTCCTTTTGACATCGGAATAGCTGAATATCGTTAATTTTCGGTCTAATTTCCTTATTTGGATTGCAGCTTTCCAGCAGGGAAAGGATTGAACATTAGAAGAGCTTCATTCCTGGGACATTCCTCTTTCCTTCTTGCCGTTTTCCCTCGGAATTCCGCGCTCCCTCAGCCCCCATCTCCCCTTCCCGGCACACTCGGCTCCAGACGGAGATTTATGCATTTCCCCCTCCCGTGATCCTTTCCTGCTCCACCAGCAGCACCATCCCAGGCCCAGAAGATGCAAATTTCGGCAGAAATAATTTACTTCAGAGGTTAAAGAACAAGCTGGGAGTGCCAAGCCCTGCCGAGGCCGTGGTTTTACAGCTCTCACCCACAAACACACAAATCCACAGGCAGGGCACGGAGCAGCACCTCTGGAGTCCCCCAAATTCCCCATTATTGTGGGGAAACCGAGTCTTCAGCATTTATTAAGTTCTATTAGATTTACAGCTCAGGCTTCTGCTGAGGTTCACAAGGAGAAGATTCAAGTTTTACGTAGAAAACGCCGCTTTTTTTCGAGGCGGGGAGGAAACCTCTCCCCTGGAAAACGATGGGATCTCCAGCCATGATTTAGAATCATCACCTGCCTGATCCTCCTCATCCTCACGCCTGGATCCTCGGCTTTTGATGAAGGCAATTTCCTGAGTGCATGTGAGAGCCTGTGGCTGCAGCCTGGAACAATCCTGCCTCAGTGCTTCCCTTGTGTTGTTGATCCTTTAATTTCCTCCAGCCCCAGCTCCTGCAGGGGACTAACTCGAAGTTTTATGCTACTCTTTTGGACTAATCATTTACAACTGACTTAAAAAAAAAGAAAGAAAAAAGAAAAATCCCTTCTCTGCTGCTACTGCTCCATGGAAGGGTCACTAATTGGGATGTACTCGTGGCCAAATGGCAACACAGGCTTAACAGCAACCTAAAAATCCTGCCCAAAGCTTTATAACCAGAGCAGTTATTTAGGATCTTATTCCAAAATTACGGTTGCCGTCCATAAAATCACCTCTGCAGTGCAAATTCTCACACCTTGAGAAGCCAGGGCAGCAGAACGTCGTATAAAACTCTATTAATAGGTGAAATCACAGAGTCAAGAGAAAGATCTCCTGTTCTGATGGCTCTGAGTGTTACACACAGGGCTCTGACCGTTTTATATATTAAAAATACAAAATGGAAGAGTCTCTGCAATTACTGAGAGAAAGGCACATGCTGGATTAACATGTGCCTTAGGGCTAACTGCTGACTAAGGACAAAACAGGAAACCAGATGGAATACAGAAGGGACATACATTAATTTCTCCAAATTGTTGATGTTAGTGCTCAGTAAAATGGAGATCAAACCAGGGATTTTATTATATAAGAAAGCCAATATTCATTTAAGGCTATTTTTGTAAAAAAAGATCTATTAAATTCCAACTTAAAGCTGAGAATCTGATGCTCAACCCTTAGGCAACAGCCTTATATTTTATTTTGTCATGTTAATTATCGAATCTCAGATGCACATCCTTCCAAAAGCATTGTTTGAATAGTGCAGCTTTTTTGAGCTGTCCTATTTGGGAATATCACAACAGTCGTGACCCAAGCTTGAACACACAGACATGAACGATCAATTATTATAACTATTTCTGTATTTTCATCCATTTTAGGTGATCAAATTGTCCTTGAAGCATTTTCTTTATCAAAGGGTAAATTTGTACAACATTTGATGTATTTTGCACACAACTACCACCATAAACTATTGTTAGATCTTTAAATTAATACATTTAAATTTAAATTAAATTTAAATTTAAATTAAGTACATTACTTAAAGTAATTTAAGTACATTGTCAAGACCACAAGTGGAGTTTGCAGCTATTTCTGGCCCCATCTCAGCTCAGACTCACTCCCCCAGCGTGGCTGAAAATGAGGAATTCAACCATTTCCCACGCTCGTGATAACACTCGGAGATTCAACTGAAAAAATCCTCTGGCAGCCTAAATCAAGTGTATTCCAGGATACTTTAGGGAGCAGAAAGGAGGAGATGGGAAGGTTGGAGGGGTGGTTTATGGGGATGGTTCCACAGGGCAGGACCAGCCGATTTATTCGCCGCTAATTCCGTCCTTAGACGATCGGACTTAGGCTGGGCTGATTTCAGCAGGAAAATCTCTGCCTGGAGATCAGTGCTGGGCTCAGGCATAAGATCCTAATTATTTGAAAGGCATTTGTTTTCATAGCTCCTTTCTTTTTTTTTTTATGTGTCCAGGTCGATGGCATTTTAATGCCTTATTAAAAGGTTGTTTTACAGCAGCCCGTCTGTTCCCTCTCTGTGCCCATGTCTGTGCTCTGGGCTGCAGGATTTTGCCTTTCATGCTGCAGGATTTTGCCTTTCATGCTGCAGGATTTTGCCTTTCATGCTGCCCAAAGAAATATTTTCCAAATTCCCTGTAAAAGTTGTCGATATTTCCCAAGACAAACAGTGTGAGGGTTTTTAACCTGCTCTGAATTGACACTGAGACGGGAGATGTGACATCCCTGTCTCTCCATTTATGGCCTGCTTCCAAAAAAGCTTCATTAAAGGATATGCTTAGTAGCTTGGGCCCAATTTTATATGACTTTTTAATTACACAAACAACTGCAAATGTTTTAATTTCTGTTTTTCTTTAATTCAGTTTAAATCACAGCAATACAAAATATGCCAACGCTCCCCTACCGTGTTTCCAGCCCAGGTCTCTAAATGCACAAGAAATAAAAAAAAAATAAAGCAATTCAAACTCGGAATAAAATGGAATTGATGCAAAGTTTTTATATCTAATCACTTTGAAGTGCCTGCAAGGTAAACAAACATTCAAATGTCAAAAGGTAGATTTAAATATGACACATTTACCAGCATTCAGACAGTAATCCCAGCGAAATATTTCTTTTAAACATATGGTGAAGCCTTTGCTTTGTTGAAGTCAAATGGCAGAACCCCCACTGAGTTCAATGTGGGCCAGATTTTGTACCCAGGTAACTCCTTCCCATCACTCACACCCAAATATTGTGCTGAACAACAGCTTTGTGGGAGTTGGCATTCAATAACAAAATACTTATCTGTCTTATTAGTCCTGATGAATACGTGGCCTTTTAAGATAAAGTATAATCTGAATTGCCTCTTTTCAGTCCTTGAGGGTTCTGCAGCAGCCAGCAAGAATGAACAGATGATGGAAGCAGCCAGACCTACAAAAGAAATAGTATTTTAAAAGTACTGTACTTATGGGGGGGGGGAAGCTTTGCCTTTGTACATAAAGAGCTCTATTCATTAAAAGAAGTTTTTACAAATGTGGTTATTTCAAATAGTTAAAAAGTGTGAAACACACTTAAAATGAGTAAAATTCGTGGGTTTTCCTCTGAGTTAAATATGTGCCACACTAATAAAGCTCTCCTCACACCTCTTCCTAACTCAGAGGCTTTGGCCTCATTCTGCAAATGTTCTGAACTGAGGGAGCTCAGCACTTTGCTGGAATGGACCATGAGTTCTCCAGGTCCCAGTTCTGTAAAGATTCCTGGGTTTTAAAGAGATCCAGAGGATCCACAGGATCCCTGTGATGCAGGTCAGCATTCCTGGATAACCTGTAGGAACCCAGCAGTACCACAGATTTACAACAGAGCTTTTACAAACCTTCCAGAACTGATTTTCCAGTGTTTGACCCTTCCTACTGCTTGAAGAAAGCTTCAGACAGCTTTAAAATGAAACAAACGTGTTAAAATCTGATTATTTATAAGCACCCACTTTCCTTGCTTTTGTCCTTTCAGTTTTCAGCTGCCATTGGTGCCCAGAAGTTGAGGTATCATTGTTTAACATAAATGTGTTCAAACCCATTTCTCTTTGATTCAGTAACTCTGCAATCACAATCTGTGACATCACATGTCAGTGAGACACTCAAAATGTAACATGACACCACCATGATGGTTTAGGTACACAAAAACAAGACATTTTGGAAAGCATGACTTAGATACAAAAAATTTTAAAGCTGAAACTCTTTGCTGTCACAAAATCCCCTCAAATTTTCATAAAACTTGGTTTAACATAGCAGGAAAATGATCAGTCTGTTACTTAGTTCACATGCACTGACCTCAGAAATCATAATGATATTTTATACATGAATAAGGATAAAAACACATATGTCTCAGCCATGTGGTGTTGCACCAGCCCTTCACTGAGATAGATTTTCTTTGCTTCATCTGCTGGTAACGAGGGAGAACTGAACAGCAGCAGATCTTCCTGAACACCAACAAATTAATAAATTTCAATTTATTGCCACATACTTATGTCAGGAGAGAATAATGGAGGACAGAGCCATGTGTTTCCTCAATACAACTGTGGATTTTAACAACACGAAGTCCACAACTCTGTGCACAGCAGGAATCCTGTGAAAGGATGTCTTTGCCCACTGCTCCAACTCCCCATCCCGAGGGAACACAGACTTCCAGGAGAGTCACTTGGACAACTGGAGATCAAACTCCTCCTTCCCTGCTCCTCATGTTCTGGGATAGGGAAGCATTAGGGATGAACCTCTGCAGATAAAGCTGTGCTGGAGCCTGTCCCACCCCATGGAAGCCCAGCATTCCCCCCTTCCACGCTCCGGAGTGCCGAGGATTTGTCCAACCCATATATCCTTCTCCAAGAAAACGACAGCGAAAGCGCTCCCCAGATTTAACCACTGTCAGATGTTCTTTGAGCAGAATATTAATTTCTCTCCTGAGAACATAAATGTTTGGTTGTAACAAGCCACCAGCCCCTCAATCCTTTGATTTCCTCTGTCAGTGCTGCCCCCAGACCACGAGCACGAGCATCTGTGTCCAGCCTGGGAGGTGTTTGAAACACCGGGAGGCGAAAATGGGAGCAGTTACAAGAGGTTTTTTTAAAAAAAAAACAGTTTTGAAAACATTAAATCACATGGTGCCAGCCACTGAAATGGTTTCCTTCTCACCAAACTCACGCAGTGGTTTTACAATATTATCAAAGCCACAAAAGATCTGACTGAAATAGTAGGAGGAATCTTTAAAAAAATGCTTAAAAAACACCAGAAACCTTCACCTGAGTGCCACTGCCTGGAAAGGTGGACAAGACTGCCCTGCCTCCATCTTCCTTTTGTCTGTGAAACCATTCCCTGGCTGGCTGTGTGCTCAAAATTAATCATTTCTGCTTCCAACAATCCCCTTGTCTTTGGAATTCATGTCAGGTTGATGACTTTCGGTGTATTACAGACCATTTGTAAATACATCAGTTCACATTTCAGTGTTTTCCTTTGTACCAAGATACCATCTAGAGAGAGCTAATCTGATCCAGACATGCTGGACCACAGCTCCTTCCCATCCTCAAAGTGCTGCAGGTGCTGGGCTCTCCCTTAAAATTAATTTAGAATTTAGATTTCTTAGTGCAAGAGAAAATTGTCCTTCCCTTCAGATCCAGCAGCCAAACTTTCTGTAAATGCTTGGCCCTTAAAATACAATTCCCATGACACCAACCTTTATTTTGGTAAAAAGATACTGCAAGCAGTAGCTGCTGGAGTAGTTGAGTGCTGGAGCAGGAAAATCTCCTCACTCCAAATCAGTTATCTTCAGACTCTCTCCTCCACCTGGGCCACTTAATTAAAGAACATTTCCAGGGATTTAATTTGTAAGACAAGACTTCCAGCATGTATCACTCTATTACCAGCCATAATGAACTCCAAATCCTTCCATAGCTTATCCATCATTTTAGCTACATTTTTTTCTCAGAAGAGGTTGAATTCTCTAAATAGGTTTCCCACCTTTGGAAAGCTCCATGTCTGCCAGCAGTCACTCTCCCTGCTTGAGCCCAATTTATTCTTTTCCAGTCCCACCTTGTCCAATAACTCCAGTTGGAGAAAGGGGACTTTATTCCGTTCATTTCACAGATCCTAATATACATTCAAAAAGTAAACTGCCCAAATCTAGAGAAAAGCTTTGAGCTTTATCCTCATTCCTTGGAGCTCAGCACTTTCAGCTTCATGTCCTCACATTCCCTGAACTGATTGAAGAACATTCCCTAGACATTTCTGAGGCTCTGTCCTGGCCAGTCTCAGAACAGCTTTTATGGCCAATTTTTTCATAAGTCTAATATTAAAATGAACTACTTCCTTTATTTTTTTTCCCAGCTGCCAATTTTCCTTGTCTTACAAACGAAGATTATCACTTTTCCTAATTGTAGAGCGAGGGCAGGGATCAGATTAGGACTGTCCCTTTCCATCATTCCTTTCACAAACATTGACTTACAGGATTTGGCTGCCAGGAGCTCCACTTTCTGCCCACCTTTCCAGCCCTTCCTCAGGGCTGGGATTTGAAAGGACCAGATGTGCTCCTCCCAAAGCCCACGGCTCAGAAGGAGAGGCTTTGTTAGTTTTGAGGTTGATCTGAAATATCCCACCAGACTATTTTTAAATTTCAAATTACAAGTATGTTTTTCCCTCCTAATTTCTTATCTCACCGACTGGCAATGATTTTGTTACACTTCAAACGTGACCTAAGAGTCTTTAATTTCACTCCAAAATTAATATTTTAGCTTATATCTTCATCTGAGCCAAACTTTCCTCCTTTCTGCTGTTTTCTGGTAATTCCTGGGTGATGGCAGTCAGATTGCTGGATCAGATAGTGACCTTGCCATTCAGCCTTGGAGGTCTGATTCCAGCCTTCCCATCCAGCCTGAGAATTCCACAGATGTCCCCAGACCTTTCTTTCTTATCACAGGTCTCAGCCCTTCCAGAAAGGGCTTCCAGATGTTGCAGATTCTTGTTGCAATTCCATCTGGCCCCCTTTGACTCCTGTGAGTCCTGCAGAAAAACAAGGCACTGGTGAAAAAAAAAAGAGGAAAAAAAAAAGAAGCAACAACTTTTCAGATACTGGTGTTTAAAAACACTGTCTGGATGTTCTGAATTAATATTGTGCTGGAAGAAGCCAAATGGCTGCATGCCAAGGCTTAGGCCAAGGTGTATTTTTATGGCAAAGCTGTAAACCCACAAAATAAGTGGTTTATAATGGAAATTCTGACACACTTTTAATATTAAAGAGCAGAAATACACTGGTTGTGGTGAGGAATTGTTTGCCAGCTGTGGCACTCACCTGTCAGCTGCGCTGCCTGAACGATCCCGGCGGATGGGAGGGATCCTCCTGCAGCTCATCCTCCTCCAGCCACGTGCTCTGGGGGCAGATGGGGCCAGTCACACTCAGCAACTCCTTCTGGAGCCTTTCAAAGCCCTTCTTCTGGCTGATTACAGGGAAAAGCACAGCTGGGATTCCCAGAATCCGGCAGTGGCTGAAGCTCAGACCCGGCTCCAGACAGAGCTTTCAGCAGCTGGAAGAGGGGGGGGGTTTCCTTGACACTGCTCCTTTTGAGTGGCACTTCCACAGGGAAAGGTTGGGAAGAACTTTGGGAGTGAGCAGATGAAGAACTGTGGGATTGAGCAGAGGAAGGACTGTGGGATGGAGCAAATGAAGAACTGTGGGACTGACCAGATGAAGAACTGTGGGATGGAGCAGATGAAGGACTGTGGGATTGAGCAGATCAAGAACTGTGGGATGGAGCAGATGAAGAACTGTGGGATGGAGCAGATGAAGGACTGTGGGATGGAGCAGATGAAGGACTGTAGGATTGAGCAGGTGGCCTTGCTGTCAATCTGAAACTCAGGCAAAAACCATCCCTGGACACTTGTTGATTCCCAGAGCTGTGGATCAGCCCATGCACAACTGGAGAAAGGAGAAACCTTGAGCAATATTTAGGATATTCTATCACTGTACACAGGCTACTGATAAACTGTGAATGTGAGAATAATAGAAAATATTGGCAATAATGATAAAGGACAAAAAAGAATTCCATAAGGCTGAAATATCATAGAAATAAATACTATATCTAACACAGTATAACTCTAATTCGAGTTATAGGGGCAGTTTTGTTTGCACATGAATGCTCTAACTACATTAGTAGTCTCTCACCAACATACCATTTACTATATTACTATATATATATATATATATATATATAAAGGGAAAACAGGAGGAAGAAGTGTGAAAAGGCAGAGCCATTTTTCATTTCCATGTTCAAGATGACAATATTCAATACAATGATGACACTATTCAATACAATGGTATGTGCTGGCTCTAGATCTGATCTGTCTGCATGGCAAGTATTAAAGCTGAGATTTCCAAATACAGTTAGAGGG